TTTATCCGGGTAATTATTAAGTTTCAAGGCTTCTTTTATGTGTATCAGTTCCTGTTTTAGATTTCCCGTGGTACTACTTAGTTTTTATGCTCTGTCATTTAAACATTTCACCAATCCTATTTTTACTGACATAAAAATGGCACTATTGGAAGTCCAAATATCTGTTCGAATGTGTGGGTTTCCTGTAAACACTAGCGTTTAACTCCCAGTTGCAAATCAAGCTCATAGACCATTCAGCCACTGGGTCTTGATTCAGTGACCAGCCCAACTCGTGATATACAGAGCAACTGGAGACACTAGTCAATATTATCTGTGGCAAGTATTTGTCCCAAGTGCCGACCTGGTGGTGTGTTGTAACTGATGAACACAGGAAAGTTTGGTTATAAAAATGTGTGTGTGACAGAATGGTCTTGTTATAGGTAGATAATAGCCTACTACTGCTAATCCGCAACACCTGTCAGTTACAAAAACAAACCCCTTCAATAACAACGAGATAATGAAATACATATTTGCCCTAGGTGATGAGGAGCAAAAGAAACAAATCGAAAGTGTATAAAAAAATTTAAAAAAAGATATGCGAAATGCTATACCATCTGGTGTGGGAGACTTTATTGTATTCTCAAGTTTCTTTTCATGTAGTGAACTCAAAATCCCATTTGTCGCACATTTATCGCGATCTTATCTGTTCGTCAATCGCATCCCACAGCCCATTCTCATTCCTATTTTTATTTATTCAATGGAGAACTTTCATTTTAACGGATTATCTGCGTGCCTGAAGAAACTCTTACCATTATTATTATTACTACTACTACTATTTTCTTTTGGTTGTTATTCTTTTCACATTATGGATTTGTTAATTATAGCTGACAGATAGTTTAATATAAGCTCCGTTTTTAGTGTGTGTACAAATGAACCCCTCTACGTTAGCCTTTAATGATGAAATAACAGACAATTTTGCCAACTAATGATATTTGAAACTAACGGAAACTGTCTACTTGAATTAAAATTCTAGGCATTTGCCTTTCTTTTTTGTCATATTTAATCATCTGAGTTGAAATGATGGGAACAAAAAAAAAGGGAATAGCAATGGAAAAAGGCCTTACTTTTAAAATGCGATTCGTGCCAAATTCCTCTAATTAAGAATTTAGAAGTGGAGGGTTGGGTAAAACCGCGCACTGTTGATTGACAGAGATGATTGGTCACATTGACCGGAAAGGCTTCTTATCGAGATCATCAAGGCGATCTGAACACCAGTTGGCCGTTTCGCTCGTTTGCAGACGAGCTCATCAGTGGTTAGTGTACACTCGGTCTGACTCAGTGAGGTCATACACCAGAATTGGTTCAAACCAGCCAGTTTCAACTCTTGAACTGTGTGCATTGTAAATCTCTGGCTGATTTGCAAGTTATGAGTCTGATTTGACCAAAAAACCGTTGCGTTCGCTTTAAGTATTCTGCCAATTCGCAGTCTAAACAGTTTAAGGTCATTATTTCACCACAGTTTACTTTGAAAATCAAGACTGCTGATATCACAATGCGTGATCCTCTTGATACCATAAATATTAATCAGTTCTCTGAGCTGTGTCAAGACCAAGTACACGGCTGATGAGCTCCGTCCTGAACGGGTGAAAAGTCTGTCCAGTGTTTAGATCATTTAGGTGATCTGACTATAGTTAGTAGTACATAAAATAATATGTGTATTTTTTTAAGTCTTCTATAGTTGGTTTGTAAGGATTTGTTTTGCTTTTACGAGTTGATCACGGATAGATATCAGTTAGAGAAGCATTGAAAACCAGTACTGGAGTACTGGACAGCTGTTTCACTAGCCTAGTTTTCGAATCGTCGGCAGTACGCACTCACCACAGGCGTTCGAACTCAGGACCTTTAGATGTTTGCGAACTACTTAAATATTGTAAGATAGTATATTTCTTCATTTTTTGTTTGTATATCCATATACACTGTCTACTTGCTAATTTAAAGCAAATACTGCGATGGTATGTGTTCCTTGTTTTGTGATTAGAAACACGCCTTCGGCTAGACGCCTTCACCGTAAATCAGTCGTGATTAACTATGTACTAAGTGTTGGCTCTGTGTCTAAGCTAACTAGGGGTGATTCAGTCTGTTTTCTTTTAAATTGCTGACTTTGATATTCAGCGAAATCTTTCCTAATCTACATTACTTCATCTTGAAAATTTGAAGATCTTTCTAGGGACACTAGGAACACAGAATGCTATAACTGAGGTGGAATGTTTGCAAGGAAATACTTAAACCTTGAAGAGCAGGAAAACTATTCGATAAGTATTGGTTTGTAGGGATTTTGATTGATTAGTTACAGGATTTCATTATGAGCTGACATCGGTTAGAGAACCATTGGAAAAACACCGCGGAGTACTGGACAGCTGTTTCGTCACTCTAGCATTGAACTCCTCAGCAGTATGCACTCACCTCCAGGGTTCGAATCCAGGACCTTCTGGTTACAAGTCGAGCTTGTAGATCTTTAAGCCACTGGGACCGGATCCAAATAGCCCATGAATTCCAACTTCTGCCAATTCATGACATAGCGCCACCACTAGCCATTGTCTTTGGTGAGTATTTTTCTTCACACCCAACCTGCCGTATCCTACTGGTCACAACTTCCCATTAGAACCTACCTGAATAGGGTCAGTCGCTACTCAGCATTTCATTGCTATTAAATTATTGGCATAAAATACTTAAAAACATCTTGGATGACAGTACTATTAATATCAACTGAAAACTTACCAGCAACTAACTAACTAACTTGTATAATGCTCGCTAACTACGCACATATTCTCGGTCTGATGCCTAGCCAACGTTAGCCTAAATCTCATCCAGCCAGTTGTAAGCTCCGCAGAATTGGAAAGGTTGGGTGGGTGTGAGTCTAGCCACCCCAAATCGTCAAAATAACACCACTGCTACTGACATTTTACAGCTAAGGCTTGAAGTTCAATGTTCTACTCGAATCACCAAGAAAAGCAAATCTGTACTTGAACAGTTGATTTATTAGTGTATAAGGCAATTAATTTCCTCGGTATTGTATTCTTGCTTATTAAATATTATTATATTTTATAAAAAAAATTTAGACAGTATTATTAAGCAGCGCACGATTTCTATGGCATTGAAATTATGTTGACAATACTTTACCATTATTACCTGAAAGACGTTAAAGTTTATTATAAAAATTAATTAATTAATTAATGAAATAAAAAAGGGTTACTGTGGGAATTAATTAGTTAATTAACAGGTTAGAAACAACAGCAGAACCGCGCTGTTCACCTTCAGTTACAGTTTCCTCTTGTATATACACTCTTGTCCCACCTTCCTCAATGAATAATAAATGTCTTTTCATGTAGGTCTCTGGCTGGCTGTTCATACTATGCGGGTTTGCGAATTCCAGTGTAAACGAATAGATAGATACACGTGGGTGGGTTCATGCGTGTCTGTTTGTGTTGATTAACTCGGTGACAACGTGTAAGCGTAGACACTATGCGCAGAAAGTGAGGCATTGTGCATTTCACATAGTTTAGTTTCTCTAATCTGGATATACACCCAACCGATGACTTTTTGATGCGAAACGCTGCAAGCTGCTGATAAGTTAAAAATTAATTACTTGTCACAATCTCTGTGATAGAGTTTTCTTCTTTACAGCCTAGTATTATTATTATTAGAGCAGTTGGTTATAATTAAAGCAACAAGAGAAATGAGAGACAAAGACAAATCTCAACTCTGGCTATTTTCGCATTATTAACTTTCTATTTCTGATTCACTACATGTGACTAAAGTCCGCCTTATTTATTTATTAATTTATTACCCTCTCTTTTGTCTTGTTCTCTTTGACAATAGTCTGCCTAGTGATAAATTGTTTAACCTTAGTAACCAGACAGTGCATTTAAACAATCAAAAGGTTAGTATATCAGATTAAGTGAAATAGTCTCTTTCATCAGATATAAAAGAAGAAGAAGCCTTGAAAACAAGTCTTGATTTATTCGTCTTTTCTAAAGAAATAGTTATCATTATTATTATTCCGTTGGGTCCTGAGTAGAACACAGGGTTTCTTTGCTGTCACTTTTTTTGTTTCAGCTGATTCAACGATCGCCCACAAGATTTCGCTTCCTCCAAACACTGCATCCTCCATATCACTATTGATTCTACGCTCAACTTGTCGTTTAACACTTCGGGTAACAACAGAGTATCTGACTAGCGCCTGAATCTACTCAGATGTCTTCTCAGTATGTTTCTAATCCATCTTTACTTCCTTCAGCACAAGTGTTAGGCTCTTGGTTTGTTCGTTGTCATAGTTTCTCGTTGATTATCCTTTCTGGTCATTTGATGTTAGTTAAGGAGCCAGTAAAGGCAGCTCTGAATGGTTTTGGTAACTCCTCAAGTCTCTGATCCATACAGATGTGCTAACTTGACATTGGTATTGAAAGTCAGAATCTTGTTCCTTACTCTGAGTGCAGTTGTTCCCCATACGGATTTCAGAGTAGTGAAGATTTTAATAGCTTTGTTATCCTCAGTTGTGCTGCTGGTAGATGAAACGATGAATTCCTGCGAGTTTCTTCCGTTGAGAGGAAACGGCACTTTTTGTTATTGGCCAGGTATCTTCATCATCTCTGTCTTCTGTGTGTTCACCGAAAGTCCCTTCTGTAATGAATTCTACTTCTGGCGTGTTGCTTTTCGCTAGCAGATCTTCTAGCTTGTGTGTGACATTATATACGAAGCATCCGTGAAGCCCAATTGTTCTAGAATCTCTCCCATGGTTCAGCAAATGACCGCCTTGTCGCTCCCTATGTTGTGTTGTACAATCCAATAAAACATCAGACTGGGAAATTTCTCGTAGCTGGATACAATATCGGAAGTTTAAGCACCTGAAGTCTTTAAAATTGTTCCATCTAATGCTACTATAATATTTGTATTTAATACCCAGCATAGTGATTATAGAGAATTCAACTGTTTTTCTCCTTTTTTCATCCTGTTGTATTCAGGTAAAGAAGCGTTTAGACAACGCTGCCTGCCTTGGTAAAAGTGGAATAACAAATATCTCATAGACAAAGGAATGCCTTAAAAAACACTGTTTTAAAAACCGTAAAACGTTTCTGTGCCCATTATCATTTTTAGGAACCTAAGGTAAGACTGTACTACTTAAACAAATTTAGTATTTGATTGTAAAAGAGTGGTATGAGTAAATTTTGTTACTGTCTTTTGTGGTGTTTCACTCAACTATATGTATACTTGGCTCATGGTTGTTCGTATCTAGAATGGATTTTGGTTTGTTGAGTTCTGAACGTCTGCAGTCTACTTGTTTACCAAAAATAGGATACATTTGATAATTTGATATTAGATAGTTGGAGGCAGTCGGCAGGAAGCCTTGAACCTAGGTTTCGTGCTAGTTGGCACTCACCAGTCAGCAAGGCGTATCTGCAACTTTGAAGGAGCTAATGCACCTTCTCAGATCCGAACCCGTGTCAATCAGTGCTGCAGTTAGAGACGTTACCACTGAGCTATTCGGGCTCGCGTTTGACCTCCTGTAGGACTGTAGTGGGTGTTTTGATTGAACACTAGTAACTAGTGTGACGTGTCTAGTCCTTCTTTGGTGCAGACTGAATTCTATTAGTCAAGTATTTGCAATGTGGCCACCATTCTAGGTAGCTCGCCATCACGGTGCACATTGATTTGATGATATTAGATAGTTTGAGGCAATCGGCCACAGGAAGCCTTCGACCTAGGTTTCGTGCTAGTTGGCACTCACAAGTCAGCAAGGCGTATCTGCAACCCTGAAGGAACTCATGTCCCTTCTGAGATTCAAACCCGCGTCACTCAGTGATAAAATGCACCTAGAAGATAGGCTTGTTGACTTTGTCAGTATAGGAATAAGTTTGGCTAAGATACAGCTAATTTAGAAAGGTCCTAAAAACTTTATCAGGTATACAATTACTACACAAAGTGTCTTCCTATAATCACTCAACTGGAGTCTGTAGAACTCGCGTCAAGTGATATTTTCTTTTTCTCATCTATATCCTATGTCTGCGGAGCGAAATCTACACATGCTGATGCACAAACTCTACACCTTTCTCCTCTTTTATGGCTTTAGGAAGATTCACTGAATTTACGGTGACAATGACCCATAGTATACAGTGATAGATTGACTTTGCATAGCCTTTCAAATAGCATCGGGTGTCAAGAGAATCTTCCGAGCATCTGAAATGAATTCAAGGTAAATAAATGCCTACAGTCTTATTGAGAGTGAAATAAAAAGGAGGATTTTGTGATAGCGCTGGTGTCATTTTTTGTTATCTTGTGTTTTTGGTATACTCATGATAACAGAGTTACCGTTGTGTACGCACACACACACACGCACATGTCAGTGTGTAGGGAATTTTCAATAAGTGTATTTATTACTGTTAGTGATAGTAAGTAAGTAGTATAGGAAGTGACTGTACATCTTACTTGACATGATCACAACAATAGTAATCATATTAGAAATAATTTATTAGATTAGTAGTGTAAGTAAGAAGAACATACGTGTATTTGCCTTTTCCTTTTCCTTTGCTTTAATAATCATAAATAATTTATTGATGGACCATTCTATTAGGCAAAAAGGAACTTGTGGCACTGAGGTACAGAAAGACACTGAGAGAGATAGCAAGCGCGCACGAGAGAGAGATCAGGGAAATATGAGGCATTTCTTGTAAATATCAAGGTAAGAAAGAAAATCCAGAAATAAGTTTCCTATATTCTTCTCCAACTCCTGCCTCTTCAGTGTCTGTTCGGAATTATTCGGTTATATATATACAGGAATATATATGCACCATATGTATATATATATATATATATGACAAGTCTGACAGGCTATATATCAAGTCATAATTATGTATGTATTTACTTGCCTCTTTCAATATATATATATATATATATATATATATGTTTACAAGGCAGTGTCGAACAAAGCAAGCAGACAAAAGTGACATGAATAACACACGGAGATACAGAGATGGATGATATACGCGCATATAAGATCTCATATATATTTAAAGCAGACTTCACCGAAGTGAAAGAGACAGTTTGCAGGATAATTATATGTAATAGCACTAAATCAACAGCAATAACAGTAATAATAGACGAAAAATACTTAACGGATATTACATGAAACGATCGAAGGCACATATTTTTTTTTCTTCTAGGATGGCAACATAATAAGATTGGATTTTGTTTACATTGATTGATTGATTTGAGGGAAATGAAGTCGCTAAATTAACAATAGATCTTATGGAAAAAAAAGCCTGGCCTTAAGTGATTTTATCGATAAATCAGAGAAAAGGAGATTGTGGATAATGCTACATGAATCGGTTCGTCATTGGGCTAAGAAAACACTGGAAGAAAGAAAGAAGTGAACTACTAAGAAGCCAGTTGTTGTTGGGGTCTCAGACCTAAAACTGTAAAACGCTTCAGTTGGAGAATATATGTATAAATCCAACGAAAGCACAAATTCTGATTGCGACCAAGCTACTGAAGGATGGAATTGCCCCTGAAGCACTGAAATCGGACCAAGAGACTGCAGCAGATGTTGTCACGCAATTATTGCAAAAGGTTTGGAAGGAAGGGAAGGTGCCTACCGATTGGAGGTGACAGGAGTACGTTGGACCAACCAGAAGACTCTAGAAGATTTGGATTTCTCAGATGACATATGTCTAATGTCACACAAACTCGAAGACTTACAGGCAGGTGAAAACCAACAAACTGGCCGAAGAGGCTGGCAGCGAAAACAGTACTGCAGGTGAGCATACAGAAGACGGAGGTGATGAAGATAACCAAACAACAGCGACCCCGACCAGCACCAATGACAATAAGTGGGAGGACTTCGAGAGAGTTCACACACTCCAGCTAGGAAGCCTCGTCTTAACTTCAGGATGAGGCACGGATGAAAATGTCAAAGTCAGAATCGGAAAGGCAAGATACGTCTTCATCAATCTGAAACCAGTTTGAGAATCTCCTACAGTATTCAGCATAGAGAACATGATTCGGATTTTCGACACGAATGTGAAGTCAGTCAGTTATTCTATATGGGTCAGAAACTTGGCCAGCGTGTCACGAAAAGGATTTCCAACAGGCTACCGCAGACATTTACCAACAGCTATCCCCTTCGCTGGCTTCACACTGAAGATCAAATGACCAACCGGTAATAAAGAATTAGTAACAAGAAACTCTGGCAGGTGACAAACCAACCATGAGCCGATCATTCAACAAATACGTAGGAGAAAATGTAAATGGATTGGGCATACTCTGGGGAAACTGTCAAATGACATCGCGCGCAATGCAGGCCATCGTTAGAATAGAACCCAAATGGGAAGTGATGAGTGGGTTGTCGGTGCGAGAGTGACATGGAAGAGATTGTGTGGCGTTGTGGAGATGAGAGATAACGGACAATCGTGGACTCAGCTGAAAAGGACGTCAGAAAAGAGAACGAAGTATTATATAAATATATACACTTTTCCTCTGGAATATTAATGTGAGCTACAACAAAATATTTCAAGTTTGACTTGAGTTAGAGAAGCATTGGAAACCAGGGCTTAGTGAAGAGTAGTTTTGTCCTAGTCTGCAACTCTCCAGAAATATGCAGCTGCAACCCCACCAGGGATAGAAACTAAGACCTTCATGTTACCAGGTGACAACCGTCCTCGCCAATGACATTGGCTGGCGGTCGAGCTATTTCGTGAATTGGCAGAAGTTGGAATTCATGGACTGGCCAATGCATCGGCCCCCAGTGAAGCTAATGGTCTAAGAGCTAGCTCACCTACTAACCGGAAGGTCCTGTAATCTAACCCCTGTGGTGTACGCGTACTGCTGAAGTGCCCTGAACTAAGACGAAGCAGCTGTCCCATACTCCAAGGCTTTCCAATTGTTTTCTAACCGATGCTGGCTAACAATGAAATTCTCTAACCAATCAAATTCCTCGAAACCAACACTTGAGAGTTAGAATTCATGGATCATTAAATTCCACTCCAATTTTCTGGGTGGTCTTTCAGCTTGGTCTCGTAATCTGAAGGTCTTGGATTCCATCTCTGAGTGGAGGTTGTGGGTGCGTACTGCTGAAGAGTGACAGAGCAGGGCGAAACTGTTGTCCAGAATCCTCAAAAATCCTATCATCTGAACATCTTCTACTTCATCAAATATCAGCTGAAAAGTGCTCAACTCTCTCTCTCTCAAAGTCATTCACCTAAAAGTCTTCCAGTAATTATCAATATTGGCCGCAAAATCAACTAATTTTGTACACTAATATAGACCATATTGTGATTTGTGAATCCCTAGGGCTTAAATAATTTATTCTGAATATTTCTCTGGATATTTTTTCTCTCTTTTTTGCAACGAAGTTTTCTGTCGCCCTGTCCACCTGAACAACCCGTTTCTCTCTCTCTCTCTCTCCGAAAATTCTACTCACCATTTTTGTATTAATTGAAATTTTTTTTACAAAAACAAACTACAATCATTTATTTTCCTTACTTTTATATTGATAATTAATGGTGTACAAATGAATTCTGGCACACGTGTAAGCGATGTAAGCATCAAACAGTGAACACAGTATAAGAGGTAAATCATTTTTTACGTATATTGAAATACACAATGATAAAAGGGTGAAAAAAACGACACAAAAATAGAACAGTTAAACAGCTTGTACCGTTTTTCATTCCTTTGCGTTCCAGGTGGAACATTGGGCTTCAAGCTTAACGCCAAACCTTTCCTGTGCTCTCAGTCCGCTGCCAGTTAGGCGAGGTTTAACAGTGCGCCAGCTGGGAGTTGATCGTCGGCCCATCTGCGGCCCTCTGATGAACCTTCTACCACTGAACCACTGACGCACTAAACCAATTTATTTTCTTCTCAAGTGTTGGTTTACAGGAGAGTCATAGATAACCACTTGGGAGGATTGGATAGCTGTTTCGTTCTTGTCGCGGACTCTTTAACGGTGCGCTTCCCTAACCTCACGCTCGTTGACCATATAGACACTGAGATGGAATCCATTGACCCATCAATTCCCAGCTGTTGAATGACTTAAGAACTTGACCTGTGACCTTACGGTTCATGGGGTTATGGGTGTGTACTGCTGAGGAGTGCGAGACAAGAACGAGACAGCT